GTCACTGATCTCAGAGAATAATTCTGTATCTCTGAATTCGTGAAGACTTGTAAACAAAAGTGACGGCAAAATTAACTTTCACCTCCAAATTCATGGTTAAATTCTTTTATCATTTCAAACAGTACTCATCGGCAGAATAAGAAGTCTGAAGGAAAATGAAAAAGAAATAAAAGGATATGTCGCAAATCAATCGTTCTTATAAAACCATGGCATCATATTTTCCTCAACGAAATATTACATAAAATAGAGTAAGAGTATTTAGACGGTACTTTCGACGAAAATTAGTATTAATGTCTAGTTACTAGCTCGAAAATTATTTAGTGTTCTCTCTGTTTAGAGGGAAGAATCGTATATTTAGTATAATAAAAAAGTAGGGTTTATTTTGGGGTCTATGAGTGGTTTATGAGGAATAAGTAATCGATAAAGGATGAATCATTGGTTATCGAAGGAAAGATGGGGAATATTTACTATTGGAGATTGATTGATACTGTTTGACGACGAATGATGGATCGTAATAATGTAAAATGATTTCAAATTATAATGCAGGGTTTGTCCAATAAGTTTTGAAACTGAAGGGATGACAAAAAATTTATTGAAGATATCTGTACATTAAGCTAATAGTTCTCAAACTGTACTCCTCCTGCATCAATGCAGCGTTGACCACATTTTCCCACCGTTCCATAGACATTGCCAAACACAAAGCTGTTCAAACACTACGTTGAAGACGCTTGTACCGCTTTAGCCATTCAGGAACAATGTCCTTTCAGGCTTGTTTAGATCATTGGGATCAGAAATAGATTGAAAAATGCCATATCTGAACTGCAGGGTGATTGGGGTGGAGTTGTCACGGTGTATTTTGCTAGTGCCGATGATATTCCTTCTACTCGCTTGACAAAACTTTTGGGAGCAAAATGTCGGCCACAATTGAACACACATTAAATTTTGCTAAATTTAACTCCTGTGTTATCGAACGAATACTTAACCGGCGATTACAGTTCTAATGTTCTTGCACGAAGTCCACATTTTTTTCGGATGGGGTCGACGTCGGCCTCTAGGGCACTGTTCGCCTTTGATGTCTTCTTGGCAATTTTTTAATTGACTGTGCCATTCAAAAGTGTGTGTTCTGAACGTAGATTCGTTCTGGTAAGCCTCATGGATCATAAGTCTCCGTAGCAAATTTGTTTAATAAAGCACTAAACACACTTTCACTTTTATGTTTACAAATAAATGAACACGTCATCCGCTAATGCTTGACAAATCCCTGCATCTATTTAGCTTATAGAAATTGCTCGCTCTCCATACCCACTGCCTGGAAAAAGTCAATCCTGATACTTATTGGACAAACCCTGTATACGAGGTCTGTCCCAAAAGTATCCGACCTTCCTTCATATTTC